CAATCCTGCAGACAGTCCCTTGTGATGGTCCCACCGATCTGAACCCTCCAGAGGATGAGCCTGCCCCATGAGGCTTGCCCCCAGGAACTTGCAAATCAGAAAAGTTATCTACCCCCAAACCCTGAAAATCCTTTCACTGCCTTACTGGCTCCACAGGTAGTATCTTACATATAATGCCTGTTTCAGGAGCAGAGTATTGGATTTATGCTCCTAATCCACCATTACTTGGGCAGATTCTCCACCAAAGATTTATCATGAACTCGACACAACTGGCCCCAAATTAGATAAAAGGCTTTTATTTTTTTCAAATCTTCTTGTAAGACATCTCTGCAGATTGACCTATTTTTTATAAAAAGTTCTGACTAGTCTTTTTATAATTACAAACTTGAAAACTATAAAAATTTCTATAATTCAATTTGGCAAAAAAAAAATTTGAGTGCACTCTGATTTTATAAGCAAATTATCTTGTGTGTGTGTGTTTATTTGTCTCTCTGTCTGATCTGTAAACAGCTGTTTTATTTGAGCTCAACAAATTTTTCTTCTTTTTATATTTTTGGATTTTTGAAGCATTCTGTAACTTAATTTGGATTATAGATAAACGTCACCTAAAATTAAGGGTATGCTTCCACCAAGGTTACCAGCTGGGCAAAATGATATCAAAACTGGTTTTATAAATGTCATGTGTATTGTTGTTTAGGTATTATGACTTGAGACTCTCTCATTGTTCAAATTTAATGTGTTAAGTACTGAGATTGCATTTTCATGGGTTATCAAAAATTTATCAGATAATTAAACAAACATCCATTAGGGTGAGGAAAAACTGTTGGATAGGACTCCAATTGATGAATAAGGAAGAAGCTGCCTAGAAACATCCTTCCAGTTCTTGTTCATTAATGGGAAGACCCAATAATCTCCATAAGTTTATGGGAGACACCCCAATAAATACTGTTCAAAATACATTATTGTGATGTATTTGCACTGATCATCATCAAAAGGTTAAGTTTTCAAAAAATAAGACAATTAGGATTATCTGATTAAAAGATGTTCTTGATACAAAACTAAATTAAGAGACAAAATAATGACAATTCACTATTATTAATCTCATGGTATATTAAATGTATTTATGCCTTCCAAATGTACAGTATTCTAAAATGTAAAATTGGGACTGTTTACAGTGATAGACATCTGCTTTTCTCTTGTGCCTCAGATATTTGTAGTAAGAGGTTCATGTCAAGCCAACATAAGGTCATCAATCAAATGATAAGTTTTACCAAAAACCTATGTGATGTGTATGCTACGTATGTGCCACTACATTTAGAGATACTCAGAATTCAACCACCCAGGCAATGTTACAAACTTCTTCAATGACATCCTATTAAAGGACAACAAATTAAGTAAAAGCTTTTATGTATTAGGTAGGGATGATTGACTAAAATGGTTATTCTATTCCAAGATGGAGATTTAAATGTGTTTCAAAAACATCATCATGCTTGTTATACTACACTATTATGTATGCCTTTTGATCCCAAATTTTCTCTGTAAAACTATGTAACATCTGTAACATTCTATAGGGATTTAACTACTTGAACATCCTTGGTTGATACAAAACAACAGTTCTCTGGCCATACTTTATATTTCAAGGTGCTCCCACTACAATGTAATGTCATTAACCTCTTCTGGATGTTCAACAACTGAGGTTTAGAGACCGAAACTCAGGAAGACAAACAGGCTAAGACGATAACCAATAATTTGGCCCTAACCCTCTGAAGTCAGTGAGGACCCAGGACATAAGAAAACCTTTGCTTCAACATCCTATAACTCAGTTGAGTTCCTGGTCTTCTGTTCAAGGAGATTGTGGGACCACAGTGAAAAGTGATTCTACAGTATACAGTGTGCCTAAGGAGAGGCACCAGGAGAGAAAAGTCTCCCAAGCTTTCAGAGAAAGCAACTTAGTCAAGCAATGGCTGTGACTCATCCAAAGGGCTGACACTGACAAAAGAACTGAGAGGCACTGCGTATGGTTCCAAGGTAAATCCTGAGGAGATTTAGCCGACCTTGATAGAGAGCAAGAAGTTAGTTTTAATTAATACAGGTCTCATTTTAATTTAGTCTCGAACAACCAGCAGTAAAGTATAACCACAAGATGTATAAAACAATGCCATAGTAATACTAATCTCTTCAAAAAATTGGTTTTAAGGTCCCCCACTACACTGTGTTAGTGCTTATTGGGTTTTTTATGTCTGTTAATATTTTTTTATATAGTTGGGTGCCCTGGTGTTTGGTTCACATATATTTATAATTGTTACTTCTTCTTCTTCTTAGAGTTTTCCCTTAACAATGATGTAGTAATTTTTTCTCCTTTGATCAGTTTTGGCTTAAACTTTACATTATCTGCAAGTAAAATAGTGACCCCTGCTTTTTTTCTGGGATCCTGAGGCATGGAGAATTGTTTTCCATGCTTTGACTTTTCATCTATGAACTTCTTTTTCAGTTAAATGTGTTTCTTCAATAAAGTACATTATTGGCATGTGTTTCTAGATCCATTCGGCCAGCCTGTTTCTTTTCATTGCTGAACTGAGACCATTTACATTAATGATTATAACTTATGTATTGGCTAATCTTTTTCATGTTATTTTCCTATTGTTGGTTCCTTGCTGTCTCTTCTGTTTAACTGCATGCCTTGCCTGGTGGCTTCTTTCTGTTGGTGTTCTTGTGTTTGTGGTCTTAATTATCTCTTTCTAATATATCCTTCAGAGCATTCTGTAGAGCAGGTTTGGTGCTCAAAAATTTCTTCACCTGTTCTTTATCATGGAGGTATCTTATTTCTCTACTTTTATTTTGAAATACAGTTTTGTGGGGTGAATCAATCTATATTGAAAATTGTTTTCTTTTAAGGCTTGGAATACCTCAATCCAAGCTCTCTTTGATTTGAGGAGTTGGGTTGAGAAGCCTGCTCTGATTCTGATGGCCTTCCTTTATAGGTGATTTGGGTTTTTTTTTTTTCCTCTAGCTGCTTTTAATATTTTATTCTTCTGTTGGATTTTGGGGATCTTGATTATTACATGCCTTCGTGTAGTTTTATTTTGGTCATGGCTATTTGCATTTCTATATACTTCATTTATTTGTATGTCAAACTCCTTTATCCACATTTGGAATGTTTTCCGCCATTACTTCTGTGAAGAGGTTTTTAATGGCTTTTGCACTGTCTCCAGCTTTCTCACTGACTCCAATCTATCTTTATGCTGCTATTTTTTGATTCATTTTGTAGCTGTTAGATTGATTTTTTTTTATGGTTTCTCCCATTGTTTTAAGACATCTTTCTTTTCCTGGTTGCTAGTAGCATTCCTGTCTTCTAGATCAAATATTCTATGCTCACCTTCTTGCAATCTGCTGGGTGTACTTTCAGTGGAGTTTTTAATCTCCTGGATTTCTGCTGGATCTGTTTCATTGATTCCATTGGTTGTCTATGTTGGACATTTATAGTTTCCATCATTTTTCTGAACTCCTCTATTTTTTTGTCTATGTCTACTTTGATGTCTTTCATTTTGATCAGTTCTTTTGGAAACTTAGAAATTATTTTTCCTATGGCCTTCTCCCTTTGTTTTTTCACTTCTGTTGCTATTATTTCAGAGGTTTCCAGTGGCTGGCTTCCAATTTCCTCTACCTCTTTGTGTTTTGGATTTGTCCTGGGTTGGCTGGGTGTTTGGGGTTACACTTTGCTTCTTCATCTTTTCATTTTCTATTTTTATTTTACTTTGATTTTTGTGTTGATCCTTGTAGATTTCTTATGTTAGACTGCTATATCCCTGGGTTCAGACTTTCATAGGAAATGTCTGTTCCTCAGGATATCTTCTAGATTTAGGTGGTTTTCAGTCTTTAAGTCTATTCCAAGAACCTATCTTTCCATTATATTAAGAATGAGAAGTTGCTATCTATTTGATTCACAGCCCATTCCTCTGGTACTTGACAACAGTGATGGTAAAGATTCCTCCCAATCACAGTGTTGAAATACAGGGGAGAAAAACATTATAACAGGTATGACATCTGGGTTGAAGCAGTACAATTACCAATAACAATAAATAAACTTAAGCATATCCTGGAAAGTGACAAATTCTGGTAACTATCACCCTGGTATCTTTGGCCATAGAAGCAAGTCCTATAGGTATAATATAATCCAACTTATACCAGAAATTTGTATCCAATGATTTTCCACTTAATAGAATGATTTTACTGTTCTGTCAGGGGGCTTAAGAGGGATAGTGGGTAAGTTGAAGAAATGACTGACATTAAATATAGTTGGGGTGTAGGATGATCATCCAAGTTTTGGGCAACTGTACAACACAAGAGAGAAGGATTGGAAGAGAAAACCTAGGAGTTATTCACAATTTTTTTAATGATATTGGGGATTAAACTAACAGCATGCTAGAATGGTTATACTTCATAAAGTCAACATTTCAAAAATACCACCACCATAAATCTGTTAATGATTTCTTTAAATGACAACTATTAGACTATACTTCCCTTAGCCCTTCTAAACACCTCTGCCAGGAATGTATGACAGAAGAGCTTTTCCTAAGAAAACCTCCCTCTTCTCCACATAATGTACTTATGTAAGAATCAGAGACAATAAGAAACAAAAAGAAAAAGAAAAAAAAAGAATCAGAGAGACCTAGATCCAAAATTTTCCACATTCCAATAGATCCAAATAACTTCCAAGTACAGAGGGCAAAAAATAAGAACAGGAAAAGATCTAGTTACAAAGAAATATGGAAGAAAAAACAAACAGAAAAGAAAATTATTACTGGAAAAATTGCTTTGTGTTCAATCACCCAGTAAAGCTTACTTAAATGTTTTAATGTGAATGCATTCTATAATTGTATGCTTTTATAGAATAAAATTTCACACCTCTGAATCTATTACATATTCAGGAGATAAGCATAATTCTCCCTAATATCTAAACAGAGAGGAAATAAGCTATTATGCAAGGAATGTTCTCCTACCTTCACAGCTTCTCCAAGAGTTTGGTTTTTGTCAGCTTCTTCAGTGGAGTGCAATTCAAGTCTATAATTTAACTCCTGTAGCTGCTGTGCCTGTTCATTCAATAGTACTTGTGCCTGTTGTTCCCGAAGTAATGCATTATTTAGTTCTTCACACGCACTTTCAAACTTCTCATGGGTGATCAGTTTCTTTAAAAAGAAGGGAAAAATTAGTTATAAGCTAACTATATTGCTGTATCATTTAATCTTCAGAACTACATTATATGCAAATATTTCTAGTTATGTATAATACAAATATTTCTAAGTATCTGATACAAAACAAAGATACAATTTGTTTTTTTCTTAATTTCATAAGTCAAGATAATATCAAACTGGTTAAAGGACAATAGTCATACTCCAAAGTTACCATTTTAGCCAAAGTCTTAGACAACATTCCAATTATTCTAAATAAATCTATACTACTTGGTTTAAATCTTCCCATATGATCATATTTTATAAAGATTTTTAGGGGCAGATTAAAATCCTTAACAAATCCTTAGGCTTTCAAATGATCACCTGAGTCTGTGTTCAATGTGTTATTATTTGAGTCTCCCTCGTCAAATGTCCCCTCCTTGGCAAGTCCTAACCAAACCATACCTCCTTTCTCTTTTTTTTAAATTTTATTTCAAAGAGTGTAGTACATGAAAACAAACCAACAAAAAAAATAGAACAGTAGCAGCATACCAGTATCAAGAAGATAAACAAATCAAAGCAAAAACATTCAAAGTGATACAGGGTCTCAAGACAAATTAATACAAATCAACAGTGGTTGTGACATTGCATATCACTATCCTCAACTACACTGCTCAGATTTTCTGATGTAAGAATGAAAGATTCCTCAAACCATTAAAGAGAATAAGAAAATAATTCTTCAATAAAACCTTAGAGATAATACAGTTTCACTAGAGTTTCACTAGACAAGAATTACAAGTCACCGTTGTAATTCTACTGCATATTGTTACCTTCAAATCCATTGCACAAACCACCAGACACAAACATGCAAAGTTGATCAGAACATAAAAAATTCTGAGCATTGACTTTTAATTTCAATACACCATCAGACAATAGCAATACAGTCATCGCAGCTATTCATATATATATATTTATGTTTTGCCTTCCTTCTATCTTTTTTCTTCTTTCCCTCGTCCTAGTCGTTCCTTCGAGTAATTTCGTTCCCTTTCCTATCATCAATTGTATGTTTTGAGTTTTACCTAGTCTTCTAGGTTCTTATACCAAGGAGACAATATGATGTTTACACATGTGGGTCTGATTTATTTCACTTATGAGTATGGTCTCTAGTTGCATCCATTTACCTACAAAAGCCTCAAGTTTATCTTTTTTAATACCTGAGTAATTCTCCATTGTATGAAAATACCACAACTTTTTTATCCATTCCTTAGTGGATGGGCATTTGGCTTGTTTCCAAGATTTAGCTATGACAAATTGTGCTGCTATAAACATGGGTGCACATATATCGCTGTAGTATGATGTCTTTAATTCTTCTGGGAAAACACCCAGAAGGGGAATAGCTGGGTTAAATGGGACTTCCAATCTTAGTTTTGTGAGGAATCACGAAATTGATTTCCACAGTGGTTTCACCAATCTACACTCCCACCAGCAGTGGAGTAGGGTTCCTTTTTCCCTACAGCCCCTCCAGCATTTGTAATTGATTTCTTGATGATAGCCATTCTTTCTGGGGTGAGATACAATCTCAGTGTTGTTTGAATTTGCATTTCTCAAATGACTAATGACGTTGAACATTTTTTCATGTATTTATCCGCCATTAGTATCTCTTCATTAGAGAAGTGTGTACTCATCTCAGATGCCCATTTTTGGATTGGGTCTTTGAATTTGGGAGGCCAGATTTTTTTTAGTTCTTTATATGTTCTACATAGAAGTCCTTTGTCTGAGGGGCAATTGGCTAAAATTTTTTCCCAATTCATGGGTTTTCTCTTTACTTTATTGGTGATTTCTTTAGATGTGCAAAAACTTTTCAGTAGGATGAGATCCCAGTTGTTGATTCTTTGAA